ACTGACACAGTAGTTTGGAAAGTGAGGATCATTCTTTTTGAGGCCCGGTACCCAAGATTTTTGGAAAGGGAAAATATTCAGCAAGTACACAAGATTCTCTTTGAATAGGAACTGGTTACCTCTATTCTCTGTTGTTCTGTGCCCCCACCCCCAAAAGCTATGCTGAAATACCTGTAGTTCCTTAAAAGAGTATAATACCTGCATATAATATAATAACTGCATATAATATCTTCTTCTCTTTGGATATGCTTTTCTTTACTCCTGGTATCCGTCCTGCCACTCACTTCTTTCTGTGCCTGCTAAGGTCCCGTCAACTCGTCAAGACCAACCCACTCATCTCCAAGAAGAGACAATCAGTTCTTGCTTTGATACCTACATCCATCATATGGCAGCCTTGTTCCAAAGGCTGTGTCATTTATTAGAGTACCAGATGCTTGAGGGCAAGGACCATATCTGACTCAATAAAGACCTACAGAGTGACTTTCAGTCACTCTAAAAGTATCTAAAACATACTAGTGCTCAGTGCATGGAAGCTATGGTGATGAAGGTGATGAAAATTCCTATACCCTCATCACTTATACAAAAACTGTTGAATAAGAGAATAAATGGGTGGATATAACACATAACTGTACACTTTTATTGGAATATTTCTTGGTCTGGGGTTTCTATTTTGTGAAGCTCTGTTAATTGGATTTAAAATTCCATAGGATTAAAAATGTATTGCTTATTCTATGGCTTTTTCCCTCCACCCCAGATAAATATCCTTAGAAATGTTTTTAATTCTTAACAGGAAAGACTTTTGGATTCAAACAGATTTGGCTATAAATACTGGCTTTAGATATATTGGTCAAATTCCTTAAACTCACTAAGCCTCAGTTTCTCCATCTGTATAATGAGGTAGTAATGCATGCCTCTACTGATATGTGTGAGATTGAAGTGAAATAATGTATGTAAGATGTGTGTGTAGTGTGTATGCGATAAGCATTTATTAAATGATATTATTACAGAGTAGTCAAAAATATCAGTATAGAAAAACAAATTGGAAATTGCTTTAAATCCCACCAGAGATACCATTATTGTTGACATTTAGTAGAGATACTCACAGAGCTTTCTTTAGACTCAGACAGAAACTTTTACATAAATGAAAATAACGTGAGGAATAGATTACCTGATATTTGTCCCTTTCACTCAGTAATGAAAAGTGGATCTAGCTCTGTATCATCCTCGCTCACCTTTTAATGGCACAGTTTTCCATTTATTAATGAATGATGGCAAATATAATAAATCTTTTGTTGAGGCATGTGTTGTTTTTTTCATCTAAAAATTTTTTTAGGATAAATTCTTACAAGTGGAATTGTTGGATTAAAAATTAACCTATAAAAGGATTCATCATGTTATAAACACTTACAATTTGTTCTTTTTTCCTGAATGTGCTCAATAAAAGAGTTTATTACAGAAAAAAGAACCTAGAGATTCTGTCTTGAAATGTAAATTCTAAAATATATTTGAAAGTGAAGTAGGGAGGACTCTCAGATTTCAATGTCAGCAAGTCCAATTACCCAAATTCCAACTGAGTTCTTAAATAATAATTATCACTGTTCATAATAAATCCCTCTACTTTAATAAAAACATGGGCAGAGGGGATACTGTCGAGCATAATATATTATAACATGATATTCAAACCTCAGGCACATCTGTTGCTTGAAATAACTTTTAATTTATGTATAATTAATATTTTCAATCTGAGCTTAATATTTATGTTCAGTTTGGTAAATTTTTTAATAGATTTAATTGAACTGCTCTCTAGCATAAATTTCTATTCATGTTCAGTTGAACTATGAAAAATTAAGAGTAGTTGAAAAACTATCTCTTCATGATATTTTTTGAATAATTAATTTTGTTGAAACAAATCTCATTAAAAGACCTCAAAAGTGAAAGTTTATGTAGTATAACAAAAGGATTTACATCCATTTACTTTTGTTGAATCTTTGCTGGATTAATTCTACTTCTTCTGTAAACAATAAAACACTGCAATTAAGTATCCCATCTCTGGTACCTAAAAGTAGAAAGGGTATACCTCAAATCAGTGTGTGTGGGGGGGGTTGTTTGTTTTTATTGCTGTTGTCTTGTTTTACTACTGTGGCAAAAACCAACCCATGAGGGGAAATGAATCAAGTGAAAACCCATTAGAATGTGACCTAAGTTTTACAAATAAGGTATTTCTCATTTAAGGCTGTTGTCTTCAGTATCTAGAGGTGCTCTAATTTGCTCCCGAATGACATTTCATTGAACTGGAAATTCAGAACTTAGGGAAAGATGAGCTAACTTACCTGGGGTAAAATAGTGTCTTCTGGTACCAGGGATCATGAAGCTGAGATAGAAGTTAGATAGATAGCACTTAGATCTCAGATTTTAAGAAAATAGATTATTTGGGTGGAATGGGATACCAAAACAGGACTAAGGATAGTTCTTCTCACCATTATGAGATAATATAAAAGATAAGGCCATATCTGAATAATTTATTATTTCCATATATCACTGAGCCACCTTTGAAAGGAGAAACTTTGGCCCGGCCAGGCGTGGCTCAGCGGTTGAGAGTCAACCTAGGATCCAGGCAGTCGGGGTTCGATTCCCGGTCAGGGCACATGCCCGGGTTGTGGGCTCCATCCCCAATGACTCTCTCATCATTGATGTTTCTATCTCTCTCTCTCCCTCTCCTTTCCTCCCTCTGAAATCAATAAAGGTTTGTGGTTTTTTAAAAAAAAAAAAGAAAGAAAGGAGAAACTTTGGAAAGGCACTTAGTTTTTCTGTTTCTCAGATTACTGTAAGTAAATGGAAAATGATAATGTTATTCCAATTTCTAGATAATATGGATGATCACTCATATTCTTAAAGGAAGGGAGCAGTATTTGCCCCCAAATAAAATATGAACATTGTTTTCCTTTGGCTTGAATTGGGGGGGAAATTTAAATGGTGGTCAATTTATGTATATTTGTACAATGAGAAAAAAAAGTACTAAGTATATATCATTGTTCAAGGTGTAGTTTGTTTGCAAAAGAGAAAGGCACATCTTATGGGACTCCATAGTGCCTTTGGGACTTTAAAAGCCTCACAGTCAACAATTAGGCATTTCCCTGGTGCATGGCGGTGAAATGCTTGATTCTGAACTCTGTGTCTCAAAACTTCCAGTACTAAGATACTAGATGACTAGCATCCCCTGTTCCTGCTCAGGGATTATTTAATAGACATCTTTAAAAAGATGACCTTTAGAAATCATCTGATTTTTATGGGCACCATACAGATGATGTAACGTCTAAGTGTGCCTGAGGGTTATAGGCTTTTAAACTAATAGCTAAATCACCCTGGGCAAATTACTCAAGCTCTTGGAGTTCTAGTTTCCTCATCTGGTGACAGTGTATAACATCCCAGTTGTGAGCTTTAAATGAGATACTGTGCATAAAGAGTTTAGCATAGTGTCTGGTATGGGTAAGCACTCAGTAAACATTAGCTATTAGTTAGAATTAACCTGAAAGACTTGCAGGAGGTGTAGAGTGTTTTCTTTTTTGCCCGTGCTATACTTAGAAGATGACTTACATCTGTTGTTTAAAAAATAGTGCCCTCAGAGAACAGCGGCTTCTCAGAAGTAGAGTGACATCTCCAGTTAATTATGCATAAGATGCATAATATTCTTTCCAATGACACACTGAATTTTCTCTGGAGTGTGTTTCCTTTAGTGATAAAGAAATATAAAAACTGCTTTTGTAGTTGGAAGCTATATACTTTTTATTTAAATAGTGAAGTTGTTTTATATTAAATGAGATCTAAGGAAACACAAGAGATTTTTCCTCTCAAAGCCTGCTAATGTGTTATTCCTGAGGCCAGATAAGAGGCTTGATCTTTGATTTTTTAATCCAGAGATCTGCTTCCCCCTCAACTTAATCCAGTTAAATCAGATTTCACTCTGCCCTGAGTTTCTTGTCCTGTCCCAGTTTTCCACTGAAGAGCAGTGTTTCTCGAGAGGCCTTTGGGCCTTGGCAGGGAGCAGATGCCTGAGCAGGAAGCACCACAGTGGTTAGTCCTGGAAAAAACACCAACAGCAAGCAAGATGCTTTCCCCTTCTACTGCTACAGCCTGTGTGTATATCAAGGTCTCAGTTAAATAGGGACAGAATAGTATAGACCATTAACTACTTGCTAAAGACGGGAGAAGAAAAGCCAAAACTGTGACCTGTTATCAATGGATGAAATAAAAAGTTGATTATGGTTATCATCATAGTTTATCAGTGGGAAAATCTGGAATGAAAAAATTTAGAATGTAAATATTTTTTAGATCATCTTGAGTTGAATTCCATCAAGTTAAAAAATCCCATCTCATCTTAGATAAAAGCAAAAGGCTTATTGATTGTTTACAGTAAAATATTTCTGTGTCATTGATCTAAAATTTGACTTAATAATAAAATTTAAAAAAGATAAAAATAAATAAAATTTTGCTTAAAATGGGATATAATATTTACCTCCTCTGGAGTAATAAATTTGATGCTATGTAATAACCTTGATGTGTTTACGGAATCATGTTTAATGGGCCCTCCAGAATGCTGGTGAATATCACTGTTTGGTCTATTTTCTACATTTTTTTAAGAATCTGAAAAAGCTGTAGGAAATGAAATATATATTATAAACTTTTTGCATCTAGCCCAACTTCTGGTCTCTTGATGTTTAGCAAAAGGGTCAAGGACTGTGTGTTCTATTAAATTCAAAACTGAATTTAAGAGATTTTAATAGCTGTTTAGAATTAGTGTTTGAATCCATACTCCAAAGACTATTAAGATTTTTTGGCACCAAAGAGTTCTACAAGAAACCGCTTAAAAATTAATGGACTTCATTGTTTAATTCCAAGTATATAGATATATTCTTGTATAATGTATCATTATATACATATATATTTTATACAAAATATACATATTGCATTTTTACAAGTATATTTTATTTTTCCCCAAACAGATAAACAATCAGATTCTGTATGGAAGAAGTCACCAGAATGCATCTGCCATTATTAAGACTGCCCCATCTAAGGTCAAGCTGGTTTTCATCAGGTAAGATAGATACATCATAAAATCTGAGATCTCTTCAGGAGATGTTATTATTTACCTAAGACTATTTTTATTTTATCTTTGGTTTGTCTAACAAAATCACTGTATTCAAAAAATACATTTTCCTTTTGTAAAACTGTCACTGTAAGAAAAGTATAAATTGTTTTGAGTGTGAGGCTTTCTTGTTATCTATGTTTCACATGATAGTATTGGTAGTTCAATTTTTTAAAATTCTTCCCTTCTTGGATCTGATTACCCTTTTTATAAATATAATAGCACTTTCTAGCTTCTCTCCCTTCTGTCACCATCATTTGGTATATGTGCTGACTCATTAATGTCTTCATCAAAGAATAGGCAGGAAAGCAGAACCCAGGAAAACTTTAGGAGCTTCATTAAAGAGTGCTGGTGAGAAATCCAGATGGGAGGAGGTGGGAGCTCTGCTGTCTGGTCACATGGTGTGTTTGGGGCTCCATGCGAACCTATACCTCGCCTGCTCGCTGGCTGAGCCTTTTTGGCAGAAGTGAATCTGAATTGGGACTCCTCACTGGTGGGAGCCACCATTGCCTCATCAGCAGTGGAGTGAGCTTTGATTCTCTGTTATTGGACTGAAATGACAGGTAAATCTGAATTAGTTTTAGGCGACTTAACTAACCCTGTATGATAACTGTTGATCTGTGTCTTTTCCTTCTGGGTCTCAGTTCCTTCTAAAATGGAAATAACAAAGTACTTAGCTCATCGTGATATTTCAAAAATATGAAATGTTCAATACAGTGTCCAGCATAGAGCAAAGGCCGAAAGAGTGTTACCTGGGATTTTATGATGGTGATTCTTCTGCCGCCTCTTCTCCTACCTGCCAGTAAGACCTATCCAAACCCAGGGGATCGCTGGGATTAGGGGTAGTTTTATTCCCAGATATGGGCACTACTGTAGGTGATTGAAGTATCCCTTCCCACACCATCACTTCAGCCTCAGGGGGTGTTGGTGCTTTGCTCCTAAAGAAACCCTACGTTGGCAACTTCTCCCGCTCACTAGTGTTTCCTGGCCTGCCTTCTTCTTGTTCAGATGACCTCCTCTGGCTTACTCCCCTTGACCTTCTCTGTTAATCACAGATCTTCTTTGGAGGTTTCTTTGCCCTTCCTGTTGTCAGAGGTTACAAAACTACACTAAGATGATGAAAAGATGAACAGAAGTGAGGGAAGGTCAGCCACTGGAGCATTTAGGATGATGAGAATATGGGAGGAACACTTCATGAACTGTATGATTGTCTGGCCGCTGTGCTGTGCACCTGAGACCAATACAAAGTAATGTTGAAGGTGAACTGTTATTAAAAAATTAAAAAATTTTAAATTAGAAAACTAGAGAGTTTAGGATGTCCATTGAGAGACGTCCATACAAGTAAAGAGTTCAAACTACTTAGCCTTGGAAACTTTGTATAAGGTGGTGTAAAGATTACATGAGAAGCCCTGTATAGCGCCCAATGGTGTCTATACTGAAGTGCTGAGACCGTGGCGGTGATGCCGCAGTGCTATTACTAATGTTCCTGTTACCTCTTCAGCATTTGTGGAGCCTTTATTACCCCTGCTGGGCCATCCCAGTTTAAAGAGAGCAAAAAGAAAATTAAATAGGATCCAGAGGAAATCATCTGATACAATTAAGTAGTTGGGAAATAGAGCCCTCCTCCTTCAAGAAAGAAAGATTAAATGATTTGAAGTTGTTTAGAATACAGAAGAGAAAGCTGAGTAGAATTATAATAATAGCAATAAAGCCACGTTAATTTAGTGTCTGATGATTTCAATTTTGATTATTCAGAAGGGATCAGAATCAAGGAAAGAACTTGTTCAGTAAATTATTGGTGTAAGCATAATTAAGGATGCTGCTGAATGCTTATTTACTGGAACTGACTTTGAGCAATTTTGAAGTATCAGTGTACATTCAAAATATGTAATCTAATTATGGACGTTTCTTGCATGGTCACTAAATTATAATGCCTAGCACATAGGGGGCATTCAGAAAGCTCTATTGAAGAACTTCTTTTTTAGTACTTACTAAACAGTTCTAGATTATTTATTCTCCAAGGACAACAATCATAGTAAGTTAGTTTGACTTATTTTGTGGATTTAAAAATACATATAGATATATGTCATTATTTTACAAAATTACGCATACTTTAGTTCCCTTCCCCACTACTTTCCCTAATAACCTAAGTTAGGAAGATTTTCTATATCTATTTTTATAGGGAGAGAAAAGATGTAGTTGTAATTCCGAACAATCTAACGTCATAGCCACTTTTAGACTGTAAAGGAAAATGAGCTTAAAGTGAATCAAGAGATATGTATGCACTGCTGACAGCTTTTTGTGTGATTCACTAAATAGATCTGGAAATTAATTTTATTAATTAATGCCCCAGTTTCTGTAAGGGAAGAAACTATTCATTTGACTGAGAAATCTTAAATAAAGTGATGAATTCTTTTCTAAAGCAAGACTGAACTATAACGCTGAATAAGTAATTGAAAGAACAAATCCTAAATTCACCTTCCTGGTTTTGAAACTGGGTTTAATCTTGGGCTGTGTGAGCCTGATCAGTTTCCTGATCTGTAAAATGAGGATTGTCTAATTAGACATAAATTGTCTAATATACTAATACATATGAATTGCCTGTAATATAGGCTCCACAATGTTCACTGCTATGGTGATGATGATGATGATGGTAGAAAAAGATGGGATGAGGGGGAGGAAGGAGGTAAAAGAAAAAAAGTCTTAGAGAAGGAAAGAGAAGAAAAAATAATCACTCCTTCATATGTACTTTGTCTAGTTCCAGAATCTTGAATATTTTTTTATTTTTTAAAAAATATATCTTTATTGATTTCAGAGAGAGGAAGAGAGAGAGATAGAAACATCAATGATGAGAGTCATTGATCGGCTGCCTCCTGCACGCCCCCGACTGCAGATCGAGCCCCGACCGGGAATCGAACCTTGATCTAGTGGATCCTAAGTCGATGTTCAACCACTGAGCCGTGCCCGGCTGGGCTTGAATATTTTTTAAAGTGAAGCACATTCAGAGTTTAAGAATGCCTTAATTAACATGATAATGATTAAACACTGGAAGAAATAAATATAGACATTGTATCAAACCATTCCCAGTAAATGTTAGAACAAGAAACATGGGCAAAACCTGCCTAAAAGATCCCTTTTAGTTCCCTGTCTGCTGCTGCTGCGCCTTTCCTCCACCCCATCTCCTTTTTTTAAATAATGGCCTAATATTCTAACACTTTCGCCTTTGGGGCTTTTGGGGTTTGTTTTTGTTTTTTGAGTAAAACACTGTTAATTGAGTAATGTATAAAGAGAAATCTAATTAACATGAATTAATCCCCATGTCAGTAAAATATATTAAATTTTGCTGGCTAAGTAATAAACTAGTGTCAGAATTTAAAGCACTTAAGGAAATCAAGAAAATATTGTATTGCTCAGCAGCTCTGTGCATCAGTGATGGAGGCATAATGGCAGATTGGCCTCCTATTCCTGTGTGGTAACCTGTGCATTTCAGGTGCTATCCAACACGTCATCCTGTCTCCTTCAGGCGGACTGTCTAGTTCCTTACTAATGCAGGTACATCTTTCAACCTCTGCCTGTGTATTACCTCTTTCACTCTGTTGTTACGAGGACCCCAACTTTGCCTTTTTCGGATCAAATCCTGGAGCAGTTGAATATTGACTTGTCATCGAGTTTCGGGAAGTAAACACTGGAATCATCTCGGCACAACAGCTACAATGATACTTTTAAACTGCATAATGTGTATTGTGTTTTGTTTAAAAACGGATTTTATAAGTTGTATCTCTTTACAGTTAGTGCTGCTATTTGGCAGTATTTTCTTCCTTAGTTGAAATTATTGATTCTCTGTGCATTTCCATGATATAGAAATTTTTGGCTTTTATACCTTGGCAACTTTTTTCAAATTTATTGACAATTTTGATAAAATTGGGAACTGGACACAAATTTAAAAGTATGATTAGCAGTAAAGTAATCACAGAAAGCTGTTAAAATATGCTGCCGGTGACATATTGATTCACTAGAGCCTTTCGTCTATAGTGGTGTACACTTGCATGATCATGTCCTTGTCATATTCTTTTAACACTTGTATTTATTCTATACTAATTGATACATAATTCACAAAGGATTCGTGAGTTATTAATGAAAATTAGTAAGTTGCTGCTGTATATACGTAACTTACGTAACCACTCACCCTTCACCCCTATTTCTTCCCACATCATTAGATTTTGGACAATCCTGTAATCAGGTAATTGTGTCCTAAGCCAGATAGGGACTTGGATATGCTAAGTTTTTCTACTCTGGGTTATCCAGAGGTATATTATATTCTGGGTTCTTACTATTCACCACACATTTAGTTCTGTGTGTTTTCCTATTCAACATATCCTCTGTACACAAACACCAGTTTAAGTACAGGGGGAGAGCTGTATTAATACGATGAAAAAGGAATTGCTGTATTAGGCAACACAAGGACCCAAGGAGATTGATGATCTTGCCTGCAGCTCTTGTCACACCTTCCTCCACTACTGAAAATTAAATGTCATGTATAACAACTCACTCTCCATTACTTAATTACATGTGGAAAACATGTATTGTGTAAAAACTCCTGGAGTTTTTAGGAGGCCAAATAACTGAAACCCTTGGATTTAGTGCTAGCTGTCAAGCCCCACTGAGTAAAAAGAGGACTCACCATGGGATCCACCTCAGTGTATCAGTTGAACATATGTCTTGTTTTTGTAATTAAAAACAAGAGTGTGGCCAGTCAGCCTCTGGCCATATCCCTAAAAGATGATACTGATGTGAAATTAATGTGACTGTCAGAGTCCTGTCTGGGAGAAGTCCATCAGAAGTAGCAAGACCAGAGCCATCCTGAAGACAATAATGATTTTCAGTTACATTCTAAATAATTCAAACATATTCTCATCACACTTGCACTTTTTTGGTCTTGCTTAGTTAAT